TCTCTCTCTCTCTCTCTCCCCCTCTCCCTCTCCCTCTCCCTCTCTCTCTCCCCCCTCTCTGCTTCCTGGTCACAAGGATGCAAGTTGCTTTGCCACGCCCTTCCCACCATCATGGACTGAAGCCTCTGGAACTGTGAACCAAAGCACGTGATTCCCATGTTGGTGACTTTTCTTAGTGCGGAGACAACACATCCTACAGACACTATCTAAGGACTAAGGGGCTTGTGGTTTGAAGATGCAACAAGCATGGTGGCGAGGTACGGCAGTGTGAGTGTGGAGCAGCGGGCCACATTGCATTCACACTCAGGAAGGAGAGAGATGAACGTTCGTGCTCAGCAAACTGTGTTCTTCTTGTTCAACAGGATACCCCAGCTCATGGGATGGTGCAACCCATATACAGGTGGATTTTTCCCCCTCCTTAGTTAAGCCTCTCTGGAAATTTCCTCATAGGACTTCCCTGTCTTCTAGGTGACTCCCAGTCCCATCAAGTTGACCAAGAAGATAAACTATCCCATCCTCTCTTAAGTTGGAACCTTTCTGTTTCTAGGAACATAGAGATATATGCGAATGGAACATTCTAGAAGGATCTTCAGTGAGCTGTTCCTGGTGATTATCTGTGGGAAGGGAAGGGGGGGGGGACAAAGGATTAATTGTGATGATCGAAAGGATGGGCCACAGGAAGAAAATGCTTAGGGCCACAGGGAGACAGGTCAGCAGGGGAAGGGCTGCTAAGCAAGTATAGGAACGTGAGTTCAGATCCCCTGTAGCACCTGTGTAGAAGTGGGGTGTGGTGGCATGAGTCTTTAACTCTGTTGCTGAGTGGAGGCAGAGACAGGAGGATCCTCAGAGCTCACTGACCAGCCAGTGAGCTCCAGGTTCAGTGAGAGACCCTGCCTCAAAAAAAAAAAAGTGTATGTGGGGGACAATAGAGGAAGACACAGTACAGCAACCTCTGTTCTCCACATGTGCACACACGTGCATGTGCACGCTTAGACCACACAAACATATACAGAGAAGCAATGTCTGTCTTAAACACTGTACTCCTATCTAACTAATAAATAACTGAGACACCTAAAGAGGGAAGAGGAAGGAGAAGGGAAGAGGGAAAGGAAAAGGAAGTTCAGGAGCTCTGGAGAGGGAACAAGGGTGTGTGTGGGTGGGGGGGGGAACAGCAACAGTGTAGGGGGATGGACAGGTGCAAGGCTCCTCCTCCCCAGGGCTCCTGCACCCCCACCTCCGTCTGCCAACACCTCTCCAGCCCCATCCCTCTGAAATCTGGGATGCTGTGGTCTCCTCCACAAACATGGCTGCTCCTCTCCTGGTGCCGCCCCAGCCCAGATCCTTTATCCCCCTACCAGAAGGTCCATGTGACTGGCTCCAGCCCTGTTGATTGCCCATTGTTTCTAAAGGCTCCATTAACCGTGGGCTTTCCCTCTCAGGAGCTATTCTAGGACTGTCAATAGCTTCCGTTTTGAAGAAATATGCTGAATGCATGGTTTATCTCATAAATAAGGAGGCTGTGATTAGCTGTCACTCTAATGGCTAATGAAAGCGGCAAGTGCTGGCTGCCTCCGGACTTCCTGAGATATAGGAGTTAGGGGCCACAGCCCTGGTTGCCATCTGCTTCATGCCAGGTTTCCACCTGTCACCAACTCACCTGGGCAGTCATGACCGTGTCTGTGTTGACAGAGTGAGGTGTTCAGGCCCCTTTAAGAAGGCCCTGGGGCAAACCTGACTCCCAAGTCAGAATTCAGGGCACCACAGCCTACTACTCCAGGCAGGCCGAGCTGGTAGAAAGCAAGCAAACAATGCGGAGGTGCCCAGGTGCCGCAGCCCCCATTCACTCACTCCTCGGCTGCCTTTGTGCTCACACGCTGTAGTTGGGATCCACTGCATTCTAAAGCTGGTCACCAGCTGGGTGATTTGTGGAGGCTTTAAGAGGTGGACCTCTAGGAGAGGGTCTTCCATCCCCTGGGGCAGAGTATGCCCTGGGAAAGGATCACTGGATGGTGTACTGGCTCTTCCCTCCCCTCCCTTCCCCTTCCCTCCCCTCCCTTTCCCTTCCCTCCCCTCCCCTCCTCTTCCCTCTCATTCTCCTTGTCCTCAACCTCCCGAGTACTAGGATTATAAGTATACCACCTTCATGTTCAGTTATCAAGATTCTTCATTTTTAAACATTTATTTATTTATTATGTATATCTCTTGACATGTGGGTGCACATGTGTCATGGAGTATGTGTGGAAGCCAGAGAACAATTTGTGGGAGTCAGTTCTCTTCTTCTATCGTGTAGATCCAGGGCATCTAAACTTAGGTCATCAATCTTGGCAGCGGGAGGCTTTACTGGCTAAGCAATCTCACTGGCCCTGGATTCTTATAACTTAGACAAAGAAGCATTCTTTTAATCCATTGAAATGGAATGAAACATTTTGACAAAACTCCCCAGGGGCCAGAGTTTCCAAGAGTTCAGAATAGTCTACACTGTAGTTGTCCTTTTTAGGAGGGGTTGGTTTAGACAGTTCCATTATGGAAGGAAGTGTGGAGGGATCATTAAAGTGTAGCTGGTGGAGCCTGCAGGTAAAGGGGTTTTGATTTAAAAAAGTGTTCAGGGCCTGGTGTTGCCCTGAGGCTGTGGCTTCTGAGGGGCTGGTAGGAATATGAGCTGGTAGAACCATGAACCATGGTAGAATAGACATTAATTGGACTGGGAATGTGGAGCGAAGAGGTGTACTTAGGATCACAGCTGACAGTGAACCAAGGGCCATGATGGACCAGGGAAAATGACCAAGTCAATATGAGGTACGGACAGGAGCAAAGCACACCGCCTGGAGTAGGTGGGGTGAAATCTAGCAGTGGAGACTCAGTGTGAAGAGGTGGTGTTGGGTCTAGGTGGACATTGTGGAAGAATTTCCCTATGCGTCCTCCACACTCCTGTGCACACTGTGGGTGGCTGGAGTGGGGGGGAGGGGCCTCCTGTAGGAGCAGGTTTGGGTCAGAGTGTGAGAAAGATGTCAGGCATGCATGTTTATCTTCAAGGGCTGGCTGAGGTTGTGAAGTCAAACCCTCTTAGCTTAACCTAGGTTGGATTGGCCATAAATCCTGTTGGACAGAGAGTTGGATGATGGGACATACACTTGGCTTTAAGTTCTGGGTTCCTATTGGCTGCCACACTGCCTGGTGGTTTGTTCTTCATGATGGTCTCAGTGAGACTCTTTATTACTTCAACTCTATCTTCCCAGGCATAAGCAATGCCACCCTCTCTCCATTATGGCCCCAGGCTGGAGTGATGGGCACTCTTTTCTGTCTGTAATGCTGAGTGTGCTGAGCTCCTGTGGCAAGGGTGCTATTAAGCAAAAGATGGTGATCTGAGGGACGATTTTCCCTTTGGGTTTTGGAAATGAACATCCCACATCCCCACGTTGTAGCATACATTTCTGCTACAGAGTTTTGCCTTGGGCCATTGATTTTTGATGGGGCCCAGTGAATTGTGAAAAATATCTCTTACTGAGTGTGCTTAAATCTCAAATCAGCTGTCGAGCTTATTATATCCTTGTTAAGCATATCCCACAGTTTGTCATCAGCAGGATCATTTCTGGTCCCTCTTCCACGCCTCTTTGGTTATTGAAAATGGCTATTTAGTGCTTGTGAGTCAAAGCTCTACAGACCCAGGCTTGAGATGAGCCGGAAAAATGATGCTTAGTGGGATGGGTTTGGGGAGGAGGAACTGAGGGTGGCTGGGGAGGAGAGGCCCATGAAGAAGAGCTTCCAGGTTTACTGCCGGGCTACCCAGATGAACTGGAGATGTGGGAGGCCAGCTCACCAATAGAAGGCATTTAGAAGTGACTACTCAAGAATTAGGACGTTAGGGCGAAAATGCAAAAAATATCCTTGAACAGTGAAGTCTCCTCGGGGGAGGAGTGTGATGTGGTGAAGATGCCGTTGATCTTCCCTAAAAGGCCACAAAGGCACAGCGGAGCAGAGAGAAGCATTCCAAAACAGCAGCTCCTATCAAGGGGAATGTTTGGGCCTGCGTGCTGCTGAGGGGTTCCCTCTGGGCTCGATTCCCCACTGACTTTCCTTTCTTCTCACAGCTTCACCAGTACGCTGGCACTCAACGACCCCCTGCAGACCCTCTTCCAGCTCATGTCGGGAAGGATTCCACAAGCAGCCACGGTACTCTCTGTGACAGTCTTCCTTCTATACCCCGGAGTCCTAAGGGTTGGGAGTTGGCTGTTGGGGGCTCCTTGGGAATGTAGCAATACCTTTCAAGATGAGGCATGAATTATAGTTTGTTAGTTATCTACAACGTGCTTGGCCCATATATGATTTGATACATAGTAGCTGATTTCATGCATGGAGATAGGAGTTATTTATGCCCGCTTTTGTGGACACAGAAACAGAGGCACAGAAAGGTGTCAAATGGCCCCGTTATGGGGGTAGTGAGGAGTGGGGTCCTGACTGGCTCAGGTTTGTCTGGTTCTAAAGACCTTCCCTCCCCCTGACTGGACAAGAGCTGTTGTTCATCGATCCTCCAGAGCTGGGCGTGTTGGGCTTTGTGGTTTGGAATTGAACATGGCTGAGGAGAAGGTGGAGGCCTGCTCAAGAGCATCTCCACTACAGGAGAGTTGATCTTTTTGAGCCAATGTGTTCTTTTCTTATCCAATAGCTTTACACATATCTTGGCATTGACTGTCTGGGTCTGTTTTTTTTTTTTTTTTCTAGCAGTACTGCATAGCCTGCCCTTTGAATGTACGCATTCATATCTTAGAATTCAGAAACATTTTCTTGGATTA